TATCAAAACCAGGGGGGTCTGGTTGAGTTTCTTTTTTTAACTTGATTGATTTGTCTTTGATGTTTGCGTGTACTACTCCTATAATGTTGTTGTGATTTTTGATAACGTGTGATCTTCCTAGTTAATGATTGAGAGTAGTTTCTCTGTCTGTTGTAATATTTTGAGTTTCTGTTTTGTGAATTGTAGCGTGATCTATTTTGATAGTTATTACATTTTGATCTTTGATGGTTCGATCTGTTGTTAGAATAATTGCGTGATCTATTGTTTTGATATTGATGATTTCGATCATTTGAATTTTATCTATTTCTATTGTTAGAGTATTTTCTATTTCTATCATACGAAGGATTTCTGGATCGATCATGTGAACAGTTTCTTTTTCGAGAATTTGAATGGGAGCTGGTATCAAACGAATAGTTGGTTCTGTTAGAAATTTATCTGGAGTAGTTTTTTCAATATTGATTATTTCGACTGCTTGATCGACTATGTCTTTTTTGTGAGAAGTTTCGTGAGTTTCTTTGATTTGCAGATCGTCCTCGATAGTTAGAATTGTAAGATGATTGTTGTATAGAGTAGTATGCGTTATTTGGGAGTTGTTTTTCCTGAACTATTTTTTACTATGGATGTTTTTGTTGGGTAAATTTTCATCTACCCAATCCATTTTTTGAATTCTTTAAAATTTGGGTTTTTCTCGTAGACATTTTAGATTTCTGATAATTTTGTCTAACATTGATTTTTTCAGATAATTCTGTATCGGAGTAATAAATATTTGTTAAGTAGTGGTTTGGATGTTGTTTACATAATGTAGCTTTAGGTTTTCTGGTTCTTCTAATTTCATAGTGATCTATGTTTATGCATGTTCTAGTTTATCTATTAGTTTTGTAAAGTCTGAGTCTAGTTCTCGGATTGCGTAAGGATGTGATGCACTCTTTTTTATTGCTATTTTTCGTAATTAAGACGTTAGAATCATCATTAAGATTTCTGTCATCTTTGTATTTTATACTCATGCTTATTGAGTGAATATGCTTTTCGGACTAGTGGTTTAGTTCTTACTGCAATTTGTTTAACTGTTTCATTGGGTAGTCTACAAAATTCATTGCAAAACTCTTTGATGTTGTTTGTTTCTTTCAGAATCAAACATTTTTGAAAATTCTTGGGTGAATATTTTCCAATCTGATTTTATTTAAAAAGGTAAAACTGAAAATTGTTTTTGGGCTGCGCCGTCAAGTGTGGTTTGGATTAAGGCTGTGCGTCTGTGTAACCAATTTCGATGAAGCGACGTTTTTACTGGTTCAGGTCCTATATTTAAAATTAAATTAGCTGTGACTGCATTTAGATAATCAACTACAGAGTATTCAGGATCTGTGCCGGTGAAAACCATAAGTGGCTTATTCGATGGTTTTGATGATCCACCCTTTAGGTATGGATTCATAGTCATTTGTAGTGATTCTGCGGCATTTGGTATTTAAAAAAGTTTGTAAGTTGGCTTTTAATTATTTCATGTTGTTGTATGTAATACGGCAGTGGAATTTCGTTATGCATTTGAGTTGGTTGGTAAAATTGTGTTTTGACTGGGTTTTGTGGTTGAAAAATATTGTTGTATGATGTTGGATTATTTCTAGGTTGTCGTATTTATTCATCTCGTGCATTTGGTTCGAAAATATCTAGTTGATTAATGCTGTAAGAGCGAGGTCTTTGGCTTGAATAGAATCATTGATGATTTTGATTATAATATTCCTCATCATCTGATGGAAAATAATTAGCTGTATAAAAAGGGGGTTGATTTCTAGTATATTATCTGTTTGTATTATATTTTTTTGTTGAAAGAATGGGTAATTTTCACTTCGATATTGTGAAGATCGTGGTTGGTCATTAAAATTTACTGAGTTTGAAGTTGGTTGTGGTATATTTTGACTTTGTGAGTATGAATAAGTCTGAGTATTCATATTAGAAATTTTGTTGTTTTTGATCTTTTCACATAATTATAATTATATTCTGCGAAATTATTTCTATGTGATGTTTTTTGTTTATATGATGGTTTTGTTTTTGCCCGAAATGTTTGGTTATCCATTCCTTAGTATTTTTGAACAACAGAGGGTTTTACTGAGGATTGTGTGATTGTTTGTTGTATTGTTGGGTTTTTTGATTTTCGAGTATTAAAGTTGGGTTGAATAGGTGAAATGTTTTGTTGTGCTGTTGTTGTTGTTGTTTCATGTAATTTTTCACATATGAATTGTGATGGCGTTTAGATATCTTGTTGTGAAAGACTTCTTGATTCGCTTAAGTTGTCTTGATTAATGAAGGTAGAGTTTAAACTATTACTTCCTGCTCTTTCAGGAAAGAGTGACTTATAGTTTAAAGGTGTTGCGTCGATTGTAAGTGAGTATAATTTAACATAATCTTTGTGAATACAGATTGTGCTAATTGCTTGGCTTGATATATCTGTTGTTATATTAATAATTGAATCAAGAGACCATTCAGGGTCCCAAACATAATCTGTTTGTTCTGCTAATATAGTTTCATCATCTGTGTTTTGTGGTCCAAAATTTTTTCTTGCTAGTGCTATAAGATCAATATTATGAACAAAATAATCGATTATGAACAATGCTAAGAATTTTTTTTAGATCGTGTTTAACATGTTGTGTTATGTCATTACTAGTTAGATTTTCACGGATTGCATTTAAAATTTTAGAAAATATTTTATTTCTTCTCCTACGGTTGTATATCGGGATGTTTGAGTTGGTGAACCGCCTTGAGGTTCTTTCAATTCTAGTATAGATAAATAGCTATAATTAAGTGAAAATACATTCTTTGTGAATATTGAATTTGCTCTTTGTGAGTTTTGGTGTTGTATATTTTTTATGTTTTCTGTAAAAACTTTTGAAAATTCAATATCTACGTCATCAATTTGAATGAGATAATTGTCGTGAAATGAGTTTGGTGAACTGATTTCTAATGTGTAGATTCCATATTGCGATGTAATTTTGCATATGGCTTTGAGATAGTGGTCAAGAAATTGTCTTTTTTTGCATCGGGAAACTCTTTTGTGCATGGGCTATCTCCTTTTTTTGAATAAATTTACGATTACTGTACCTGTCCCCGAGCGTCAGCTTGTGGATGCAACAAAACTGGGAGTACGGGATTTTCTTCAAGGTTATCTTCATTTTGAATCGTTTCTGTGTTTTAAAACTGTTAATGTGTATTTATCAATGTGTCTTAATGGTTGATTCAATTGTACAGACGTATTGGTTTGTTTGTGTAGGACTTTTTCATTCTGCGTTTTCCTTTTAATGATGCTGGTGACGTGGTTTCCGAGTCAGAAATATATATTTGATCGTCAAATTGATGATTTTCACTTATTGAGTATTTAAAAGTGTAGAGTTCTTGTATTGCGCTTGTTTCTGATTCTGAGACTGCGTTTATTTGTTTTGAAAACCGTTTCCTAATATTTTTTTTTTCGTTTGTTAATAATTTTTTTTCTTAGTGTTTGTCTTTTGTACTTATATGTACTATTGTTTGTCTGTGTGGTGTGATTACGAAACCGTATCTTTCGTCGTTAATTTTACAGTTGTCTAATACAATTGTTTGTTTGTTTCCTAAATTGTCTCTTGAAATAAGGTTTAGGAAGATGGATAAATTATTGGGGTTAGTGATTTCTAGTGTCTTAAACTGTTAGTTCTTTCGATTTTTGTGGTTAGCTTTTCTTGGAGCGTAAATTGTCGGGTTGGAGTGAAAAACATATTTCGATTCGTGAGAATGAATTTCAATTGCTCGTGAATAATTCTAAGTTAAGATAGACTTACCTAATCTTACTTAGGGTTTGTGATTTGTGATCAAGGGTTGGAGAAAGGTAAATCGATCCAGAAAGTTCAGGTATAATTAGAACACAAGTAGTTCGTTAGATACTATTTTATGACTTACTAAGTTTAAGTGTTTTAGCCTGGGTCATTTAGGAGGAAGGAAATCAAGTGAAGGATGAGTAACGGAAGTTCTTCACTGTTTCTTCTAATAAGAACGGTTAGTTTTTTGAAAAGTTTCTGTTAATCCTGGGTCGTTAATAATCGATGTTTGAGGTCGATAGACGCGAAGTAATTTGGGAGGGGGAGAACAAAATTGTTCTATTTGGTCCAAGGATAAGCCTTGATGATCAGAAATTTAGGTTTAATTTAATTTAATTTAAAGATCCAAGGGAAGCGTTGATGATCTGGTATTTTAATGAAATTAATTTTAGTGAAAACAAGGATAGGCCTTGATAACTTTAGATAAAAGATTAAGTTAAGAAAAAGTTAAGGTTTTAGTTTTGATGTTGTTAGTTTTTGAAAATTGCTGTTTTGTTTTAGGTGATGAAGCTGGGATGAAGGAATGGTTTATATATATTACGCTTTATAATAACTAAATTTGTTATTTTTATATACAATAAACTTTTTTCCAAGATGTTTTAATTTACTGCAGCTTTTTGGAGGAGAACAACTAGTGTTGTTTTCATCAGTCATTATTGTATGATTTCTAAGTTTAGCGCCATGAAGGTTAGTGAAAATTTTCTTCAAAATTTTATGTCAGTAAATGAAAATTTTTATTTACTGCTGGAAGTATTCTAAATATAAAAGCTTGATCTGGTTTTTGTCGTATGATCATGAAATCGATTGGTAGGTTTCTTCCTAATCGAATGTCGTGCCTTGTTCGAGTTCTTCTTCCAGTACCGTGTATTTCTCGTAATGTTCGCATAATTGGCGATGACCTATTGAGTCGTAGAGAAATGTTGTATTTGTCTAATTCTAATCTAATGTTCTGGTTAATGTTTCTAATCTAATTTTGTTAAGGTCTTGTTTGATTTCGAGATTACAGTTTTCATCATATACTGCGCAAGCAATTGCAAACTTATTTTAATGTTTATACGTAACTGTATAACTACTTTCTTATTTAAATTACTTGTAGGTCTCATCGCAGTGGTCGATACAGTAGTTATAGTAGAAGACTTACACGACTGCACAACCTACTCGGAGATGACAAAAATTGAAGAACTAGAAAAAATTTTTGAGCGCGTGTTCAACTTAACAGACGAGTTTTATCAATCCGAAGTGAAAGATTTGGAGATAGATTTGCCCTTCGTAGTTGCGGTAGGTGACCAGTCGTCCGGAAAAAGCAGCGTCCTGAGCAGCCTCGCCCAAGTGCAACTTCCCGTAGGGGCGGGCACGGTTAGCAAGTTTCCGCTGAAAATAGTATCTAGGAAATCAAATGAGCCTCATTACTCATTATCTTCAAAAGTTAGTAACAAAGAAAGTGTCAAATTGGAGGATTTGAATGACGTTACAACAGAAATTGGTAATCTTGCGGAGCAATTAGCACCTGAAAATGGCTTCAGCTTTGACGAAGTGACACTAAACTTGCAAGACCCTAGAGCTCGGAACGTGACGTTTGTGGACTTGCCCGGAATCATTCACGCACCGGCCAAGAACCAGCCAAAACATACCGTTAAAGAAGTTAAGGACATGACTTTGCGTTATATTGAACAAGAGAATGCAATTGTATTGTGTGTCGTGGATCTGACCAAAGATTTACAACTGAATGCAATTTTCCACCTATTCGAAGGTATCGATGAAGAGGGCGAGAGGACTATAGTTGTTTTCACGAAAATCGACCAGGTAAAAAAGGAAAAGCTTAAAGTAATTATGGATGAAGTTGAAAACAAACAAAATTTTCACGTGTACAAGCACTTTTTCTTTGTTAACTCGGCAATCGAAATAGAGAATAAGTACTTCAAGGACGAAATATACAAAGAAAACATAATACCAAAGGAAAACTGCACTGTGAAAAAACTGTATTTCAAAGTTTGCGACATTATGATCAAGCAAGTGTTTGCCAGCTTCTCAGTCAATTGGAAAGTCGTCAAAAACTTTGAAGTACAAACTTCGGTTGACCTTCAGCTGCTGTCAAGTGAACTGGGTAACTGGGATAAAAGTGACATCCTAGGCCTCATAATTGACGCAATTCGAGACTTCCTCGGGGGAAAATTCAACACCGATGTTGAAAAAGATGACGTTTTCTCGGAATATCGCCAATGCTATAGAGAGTTCAGAAAAGAATTTCAGGACGCAATGAAAAGCAAGATGTGTGAGGAAAAGTTAAACAGCCAGCTCGTTGAAAAACTTCGGTGGGATGAACCTCTAAATTTTCATAACTGGGACAGTTTCAAAGGATACTTCTGGAAAATTCTAGAATGTTACAAGGCGCCGGCCCAGAAGTGCCAAGCTAAAATACGAATGATAAATGAGCATTCGATATCTGAAATCATTGAATCGATGTTGCCTGGTCAACATAAACACAAGGAGTTTCTGATGAATGAAATTTTAATCATATTCAACAAAATGGGCGCGGAGCTGGATGAAGATCTACGCAAAATGCATGAGAAGGAGAAGCTCATGTTCGTTGACGACGAATTGTTTGCTAGCACTCTGGAGACTTTGAAATCGGCAACCAGGAAAGAAGTAAAAACAGTCGACAATAAGATCGAAACCTTCGCAGGTGATGTTCTTGAGGGAGCAGGAGAAATTGCCAAAGCAGTAATTAAAGAAAGTCACCCACTTGCAAAGGTAGGCGTGGAAATAGCTGAAACACTGGGATCAAAAAGCGATCAACCAGAAGAAGAAAAACCTGAAAAATTTGCTCTGAAAACTTACGAGCAAACAACAGCAGCACTTCAGAAAATCACTCTGGACAGGCTTTGCACAGCGGTTCCATCAACTATTCGCTACTACCTGAATGAATGTGTCAGAGTAAAGATTCAGCAAATTGTCAAAAAAGACAGTGAGTTTCAAAAACTTCCTTGGGAGTTGTCAGAGAAAGAAAGGCGACGTGAGGAGCTTCGGAGGCAGAAAAAAATGATCGAGCACTGGGAAGAAGAGCTTGAAAATTTGAGAAAAGATTATGAGAGGGCACTTCGTCCTATTTCGGCTTCATCCAGTGATCACTAATCCAATCCGTAGACTTCGGAAACATAATTTGTTTCCAGTTTTTATAATTTTTAAACCTTTATTTGAGTTCTGTTGTAACAAGAAACTGACAGCCTCCCGGGTTGACAAAAAATGCCTATTATACATTTTCATACTATTTCATAGATCAAAAACAATAGCATGAAAAGAGCATGATAAGCATTTTTTCCACACCATGAAATTTTATGACAAGCATTGTGAGTTATGACTGGAGTGTATAACTCATAGAGTAATTTCGGATAGGGTACACCGTCTGCTCGTCACGCTATCTTATTTTCGGCCGGATAGATTCGTGCAACTTCTTAGTCTAATACCGATCCTAATCTTACTCTTATACTATCTAGTCTCAGGTTGTTTAACTAGTCTCTGCTAGGCTCAATAGATCTAGGGTATACTGGTTTATTGCGGCTGCTGAAGTGCTCGGGAGAGTCCAACTAATTTCTAAGTTAAATTCAAATCTCTCTGGTGCTGAAATTACAAGTAACTTCAGCACTTACAAATAAGTGGGTTGTTAGTTAGATGGATCATGATTGGTTAATATTAAATACTTTACATTGGTAAAACATTTAATTTATCCAATCATAAAATATAGTTTAGATCAGGTTCCACCCATCCGGGTTTTACAGAGTTTTTTAGAACAGTTCTTCTGTAATTCAAGGATGGATGATGGACGTTGGTATTTGGCGGACATCATAATTTTCTTCCGCTTCTTCTTGTGACAACGACTGAGTCTCTGCAACAAAATCAATTCTGATTTCAGAATGGTTGGCTATGTCAGGTTTTTCTGTTCTTCGGGGAGAACTTCTTTTGTGTCTGATCTAGCTTGGGAATGGCGTGGAGATTGTGCGTGGAGGGGATGCCTGGTTACTCGGATCTGTACGTATACTTGAACATCGAGGTGGTCATTGGTCTAGTTCAATGAAGTCCTTTTCTGCGAAGTCAAGTCGTACTCTAAATCCTTTGAGTTGTGATTGTGAGCGGCATATCGATTGTAGTTGGTCATTCTCTCTCGAGTGTAGTGGGGTCGTTTTGTCT